CCACTTCTCTCTAGTGATTAAGCAGGAGACTTTATAGTACTTACTTCCTTCAATGACTGCTATTACCCCTTTGGCTTCCACAGGCTCGACCTCAGCTGTTTTCATTGAGATGACACAAAGCACAGCGCTCTGTTGTCTATAATATAAGCCTCCACATTGTTCGTAGTGGTGCCGTCGGATTTATTTATCACTAGCTCGAATCCATGCTGTTTGTTTGTGGTGCCGAACGATCAGGCCTCAAGGTCAAACACAAGAAACCTTGAGGATACTGAAGCCTTTAAAGAAGAATACTGAGAGCTTTATACAAATTTAGGTGTAAGAATTCATGCACGAAAACCCGTTGTAACTCTTTGTTTTGCACACTAATTCTTATTCACCGTTATTTTGGCAGCTTGATGAATATATATATATATATACATATATATAGATATATATTTAGATAATGTTATTATTATAGAAGAGGGTATATGGTGCAGTGGTTAGAAGTGCTCTGCGCTGCACATAGGGTGGATAGTTCAATCTCACGCTCATGGCTCACCAAGCCATCCATCCCTCCGAGATCGGTAAATTGTTAACTCACGAGTCTCAGATTTGTCTGAGAGAATAAGCAGCACTGATTAAGTTCAGCGGAGGCCACCACGAGTCACCGTAAAAGCCAGATATGCATTCAATCACCTCCATACGAAATCGCAAATTGAAGAAGAATGCATGACGTATCCCTCAGGAATTAATCAATGCCGAGAGCTTCATCCGTTTTTATTCTTTTGTAATTGTATAATCATATATTCAGAGACGTTGATAATACACAAAATTCTGGACTCTGGCAGATGTTGAACCTACTCTTCTCCCCACAGGGAGACGCGTGCCAATCACTACACCTCGAAGGCCATCGCTCTGCTGGAATACCTTTCCAGTCACCACTCCTATGGATGAAAAGTAAGTTTTACTGCGCCCGAGGTTCAGAGGTTAGCATATCACTCAACTCTCCTTGTGTATCATTTACTCTTACTTATTTGATATCCTCTTGTTAAGTTTCTAACTTTTTTCCTCTTAATTATGCGGAGTTTTTTGGCTCATTCAATGTTAAGCATTTTCATCGGATGCCCTGTGTTTATGTCATCTATCCAACGACACGTCAGTGATCCATGCGATCGTTATCTGATTCTGCTGACTGAGCTTAGATTGAGTATTTAGTCGTTCAGTGACCTCATTACAAGGGTCAAATCGACTCTGTCACAGTGGTACGCGCGCATTTTCGTAGTTTTTTCGTCCAGCACAAAATTTCAATTAAACATCAAGTAGCAATTCGGTAGCTAAAAAAATGGCGGTTTTGAATGGCATGATGCTTCTTGATTTCTAAAATCACTTTTTTGGCAATTTATAGCAACTAGGAGAAAATTGTGTTTTCTTCCTCAGAGTGCACAGTGTGATTTGCACTCATGTTTACATGATATTTTTATAGAACAAAGGTTTTTTCCCCGAATTATTAGAAATTATTTAATGGCTTGAAAAGGGAATCTTGATTTTCACATTTAATGGCATATGTTGTTCTTAATGAGCTATAAAACGGTGACAAAGATTGCGTTTTCCGTTCGGAGTGCTTTGACTGCCTCGTCATCGTTTATGCCTGGCTTTGCAATAGACTTTCAAAAATTGTTCAATAGTTCAACAAGTGTAGATTCTGCAAACTAATTCGCTTTCCTAACTGACTTTTTATTGCGCTGTAGCAAAGGAATTTATATCGCGTTTTACGCCTGAGGGAACAGCCTATTGCCTGAACTTCACAATGGGTGTATTGGTATTTGCATCCTAAATTCAGCACGCTAGAGACAATATATTATCAGGAAAGACGATATTCTATTGAAAGCCTTCCATAAAAGGTTTTTTTTTTCAGCAGAAACAGCAACCACGGCTCTTGAAAATTCCCACCCTTCAAGGCGAAGACCGCACCAATGAGAAACACAGCATTTCCAATTCTTACTTCTTATTACCTGACAATATGCAGACTTCAATGCAAAAACACATTTTCTTCAATGTATGACTTTTGAAGAAATTATATGGTGTGACCTTTGGTACGCAGTCGTAATAAGCTTTCATAGATCCCCCAATCATCATTTTGTAGAGCATTTCTATGGAAAACTTGGATGTTCGTGACCAAAATTTTTCAAACCGCTCAATGATGTGGTTAATCTTTTGTTTGAAAATTTATTCGGCAAACATCACTTTATATAGCGAGCACAATTATTAGTAGTTCAACTAAATATCAGTACCTGTGATCATTTACCCGTGTTACATATAATTTCGCTTCTTACACTCAACATTCCATGCGTTCCATGACAATAAACATCAAACCCTAAAACAGTCAGTTCTCACTTCAAAATTGTGTGAAGTATTATACAACATGGTTTTTTGACCCGAATTATACCTTTTGTCGAAAGCAATACCGCCTAAGAACACATCTCCGATGAGCAGTATTGAAGCAGTGTGAGCAAAGATCCTGCTTAGATCGATTACATCTCATGCTTACTCGCTTGATTTTGCTTCGAGCATAAGCAGTACTTACGCGTAATACCATTTTCAAACAGATCCAACGCAACGTCCCACGACGTGGTAAAATGACTTCCAAAATACATCTGAGTGCCGACTGTTGGACGATATGGTCACGTGTTCGAGATAAATATCCACCTTGGAATTGGTGTACGATTTTTTTTTCACGTAAACTTTGTAGATTTTCGACGCCTTCATGAGGCACATATGCGTCATCAGGTGAATGAAAGGCGGATGCACCTAAACTGTGAAATTATATTGCGAAGTCATATCGGAGAGAAATGCTCTCTCATTTACATATCTTCCTGGTACATTTATACCTGTATACATATTGAAACAAGAACAAGACTGTATGAACGAGACAAGCAGCAATTTGGTCGATGGAATTTACAAACAACTTCTGATTGTTGTAACTAGCACGACCTTAAATTCCCTCGTCATTGGGTCGACGGTGAGCTCGCCTATTCTTTCAGCATGTTCGGACCAACTGTGTTTCCTTCTGCAAGAGACCCTCGGCAAGTTCAACACTGGTATACCCACTGACGGTGTAGACGTGCCGGCCCTGACTTACTAAACCATCGGTTGAGTCCATTGCATACTCTTATTTCAGATGTTTTATTGAGATTACGGTCAAATTTCAAAATGTCTCATAAGCATTATTCATGCCAACATGTAATGTTGTCTGATAATGGGCTCTTGTACAGCCCGATACACGTGCCTCTACCTTTCAGTCTCATAAGTCGGGCAAAACGCGTCGTCTTTCAATCTTTTTTAGTCAATCCTCTGCAAGTGCTCCAGTCCTCCCACTAAGAGGCAGCGACGACGAACGATTTACACTGTAAGTCAATTGCAATCATCATCGATTTTACAGTTGTACACTCGATTTCTCTTTGGCTGATGTTTTTACCATATTATGCCTTTGTTTCGAGTGTTTAATTATCAAGAAAAATTGAAACACTTGTATCGGGCTGTACAAGAGCCCATTAACAGACCACATGACATGTTGGGTCAAATAATAATCACGAGATACATCACAATACTGTTTGAGATTTGTCCGGTGCGCATGGAAGCTGTGCCAGTACTTGCGTATGGAAGTTTGTTGTACGTGTATCCTTCTTAATTGCACAGTTTGAACAATTTCATTCCGTATTTGTGCATTTTGCTGCTACATCGACTACATCAAATTTGAAAATTTTTCTGAGACGGATAAAAATTTCCTAGACAAATGACAAAAAGAGGGCATATCGGGGAGGCAAACGAAATCTCTGCTCGCAGCTCCGTTAGTGTGTAAACCATTTTCATTATAGACTTATAGAGAAAAAAATTTCTTCTGTCGCAAGAAAAGTTCAAATTTATTTTGATAATCTAATTCAACACGACTACCTTTACATGCTCATCTAATTTTATGAATATATATATATATATATATATATATATATATATATACCTTATGTGCAAAAAAAACTTTATTGGGCAAACGTAATTTTTTTGTTCTTACAGCATCTTGTGAGAACTCTTTGCAACAAGAAATTTTTTTTAGAATTGCATTAGTCAGTGCTATCAAACGCCTGCTGAACCTTCAATGCAAAGGTATTCGCAGATCATAACCAAGCCAAAAAGGAAACCGAATTTGGAACTCAAGCTGTTACAATGCACTGACTTTTTCCAAAAACCATTCAAGAATCGCACTCGCCAGAATTCAAGTTATCGTATGCTACTAAAAGTTTGGAGAAAAAACTTTTTCTGCCGAAGGAAGCTTGGCCCCAAGAGAGTTTTTTTTACTATTCATTATCATTGACCTGACATCACATGCACTGTGCAGCATCTTTTTTTGACGAGATTCTGATTGTTTCCCGGCTTTAAATCATTATTATAACTTTTAAATATTGCATATAGTAAAATGTCTCAAAACTGATGCATTTATATCATTATGTTCTTTATACAAACTATTACAATTGATTGAATGCCAGCATAGATGTGATTGCGTAGTAAAAGAGAGCTTTTAATCAAACATAAACATCATATCTACACAAAAAGCATACGACTGTATGGAGAAAATTATGAAGCATCAAACTATTACAACAAGCTCCACATTCTCTTTTGCGACGGTGAAAAAACCCTAATCAAGTAACAGAAAACGCGCCGCGGCTACGATTTGCTTATCGCGATGCGATTGCAACTAGAGCTCCCGAAAGGGTTGATATCATGATTTGATCCAAAGGGCGGAGCTTGCGCATCGATCCCATTATATGGACTCATACAATATCGATAAGTGTACCGTTCAGGCTCTGAAGAAAACGGTGTCGCCAAAACGTCAGATCAGTCAGTTATCCGTGAAGCGATCTACAATCAACAATTAACAACGATAACAACAACGTCGTCTACTAACATCGCGCCAGCAAAACAGGTAAGTTTTCGTATACCCAATATGTAGAGTGCTGTGCAAAAACGTTTGCGTCAGCCGGGATTCGAACCCAGATCTCACTCTCTACGGGAGCGTATGCTAAACGTTGCACTACCGACTGACGCACACGTTTTTGCACAGCACTCCACATATTGGGTATACTATAACATCATACCACTACAAGTGGCAGTCAAAAGAGAAAGAATTTAGACTGATTATCGATATCCAACGTCTGTCAACACAAGCGGGTTCAATACCGATAGCGGCTGCACCGCCAGACCGTCGACGATTGGCTGTTGACAGACAACTCGTTGTAGCGTAAATAAGAGTGTTGTGCAACAGCGAGCGTCGGTAGTGCAACGATTAGCATACGCTCCCGGAAAGAGTAAGATCTGGGTTCGAATCCCGGCTGACGCAAACGTTTTTGCACAGCACCCCACATATTGGGTATACTATAACATCATAACACTGCAAGTGGCAGTCAAAATGGAAAGAATTTGGACTGATTATCGATATCCAAGGTAACTTTTCATTTTAAAATGCAAGAGATTTTAGTTTCCAACGTAGAAGTATAGAGAACAGACAAGACGTTATCACAGAGAATAAATGATTTAGTATAACTATTTCCAAGATTCTCGTAGTTACTGATTCTAATCATGCTCTTTTCTCATGGAACTCAATGCCTGAAGTTTCTGAGTTGAGAGACGAATAGTCCCACCTGACAATATCATATATATATATATATATATATCCTTACTTTTCTGTATATCCTCATCAAGATTTGTTCTGTGAGTCGGTTGTTATGGTGGTGATTGATCAGCAAATGTTTCCATAATCCCAATGTCCACAGAGCAATATCTGACCATCCGATCTAATTTTCAGAATTTAGACCAGTCAGGTTATTTTGAAATATTAAGCTTAGTTTTTTGCTTTCGTCAGATAGCGACAGACGTGTTAAATTTTAGTAGTGGTAACAGACGTGTCATTTTTCAATTTTCGTCGGAGTTGTGATGTTTTCCATGTCATATTTTAGATGTTCGCAATTTCATTAACTTTCTGTGTGGAACTGTGATAATTTCATTCACTGAGGAGCAAGGGGCACTTGACCACGCCGTGGGCTCCTCAGTCTCCTTCTTACCCTATAGATTGATTCTAAGATCGACATACTCTCTGAAATCCACAAAATCAGGAGCTCATCTGAATGATAGTGTGAGAACTCTCGAACTCTATCATATACCGTTATGCCATCCGTTATATAGCATGGTGGCTCATATATCGCTAACGCGACCATAGAGTAACAGGCTTATGACATGTGCAAGTTTAAATTTAGGTATCAGTGAAATAATTCAATGTTGTAAATTAGATGTAGTAGCCCATTGTAGGTTTGAAGCGATTGTTCGATAACGCTATGCTATCTCAAGAAGAAGCAAAAAAACAACAATTCACCATCTCAACCATCTCGAGTGCTTCAAGATATTTGATTTTTATTCAAGAATAGTGTACTTTTGTACCATCAGGTTGTGGCGTAAAGTTTCTCTGTTATCGCCATGTACTTCGCCCCGATTCGTGTCCATACGTGTTCTTTGGATACTCTCTCGCAATCAATAACAAAAGCCCCAGTCTGGCTGTTCCCGAGTTTGTAAGATCTGCTCAGTGAGCATTCTGTGACATTCATCAAGAAGATTAATCAAACGATGAATACGAGGAAACATATGAATGCTAGGAGTACTGGAACTTACACAATATAAAAATAACGCAGATCAAATAAAAGATTAATAAGTCATGATCTGCTGTTTTGAAAAATTCAAGAATTTTTTATGAATAATTGAGATTTATTGATTTCTGAGAGAATATGCCGAAGCCCAACATATAGTATAAGTCATAATTTGTATCTCCCATATAGTTTTATAATGAGCTGACGCCGAGAATTACACTTTGAACACGACACCAAAACAACTAGAAAGGCCGCACATTGGTAGCAGCTAGTTTGTTGCGAATCGTTCGAGAAAGTATTTTGTTTGGAAATGATTAAATAGAGCAATTACCAATGGTAGATTTTTTATCACATTATCCCCTGCTCAAACAGCATCGTTTATTTTACATCAATTTTCCGAAGGCTATCATTTAATATGTAGCCGCTAATGATGAAAAAGCTTACCGAGATTAATTACAGAGATAATCACCTTGTTAAAATCTCGGCAGAAACATCAACTTTTGCTCTACTCTGTACATTACGCAAGCAAAATGGTCCATTCGAGCTTACGACAATTGAGCTCGCTCTCTACGAAACTAAAGAGCTTACGATCACCTGGTCCTCAATTAGTTCACTTAGTATATAGTTCGTTCAACCTCAACTCTTATTGTGGATTCATGAGAAAACCTACAATTTGGTTTTTGTGGTAAAATAGTCTAGATATTCTTTTGGTTAGTACCAGACTTGTCTAGAGCAAGCTGAATTTCTATAATCCGAGTGGAAACACTTCAGTAAAGCTATCTCAGGTTTCTCCGGAGAGTCGACTTGACCAATCACTAACGGAAATCGTTGAGAAGAAGAAACATTCAAACAGCAACAGAACCCACGCGCTGACAGTCGGCAAACTTTTGAGAATGATAGGAACGATTAAAAAAATTGTGCCAAAAATTGTGATGAAGACCCATATCATGAATAATGAAATATTAATAAATTTTTCGTCGCAATAGTGATAGTTTTCGTTGTTGCTGTTTGATGGATGACATTTCTGCGACTTCGCCTCCCTCAAAACCTGGACTTATGTAACACTTAGCTATAACAAATATTATTCTTATCGACCTCACTTCAGCTAAACAGTCAAAGTCATCGAGATTCACACCACCAGCATTACCTGCCTGGAAGATGGGGGATGTGGCAGAGTGACCGTGCGCTTATCGCGACGCGGGGCTGTCCGCTCCTCATCACTCTCAGGCAGTCAACAATGAACACCCTACGGAAACACATTCAGACTATCCTAGAGACTGCAAGGAGACGCGCTCAGACAATATTCTACGAAGTCAAAGAAGAAGACGAAAAACGAATTGAATGCTAGAGGCACTGGGATTTCCATGCTAAGATAAAAACACTGTGAGACGGAGCATCAAGTGATAGCTAAAGTGAAGCTGCACATGTCAACGCATTGACCGTCGAGCGACTTAAACGAGCACTAGTAAAGCTAATGAAACATCTAATTTTTATACAACTTACAAGAATAGCTCAGGATACTCCTCGCTCTAAAAATTGTTGAGTATCTTCTCTTTATAGTTTTCGTGAGAAATTAGATCATCGGGCCGACTATCTTCCTATGGTGCGCATGTTTATCCAAGAAATTCAGACGATAACGTTGCTAACTATCGGTTGTCGTCAAAGCGCATCACGTGTCCGGCCCACCATAGTTTCATGTCCTGGTGTGTTGAACGACATCTTTGTTTCCGATCGTTGACGTAGCTCAGAACTTCGGATGCTTGCTACTATTTGCGAAATGCGCGATATTCCCACATTGTTTTCCGAGTGCTCGTTCAGTACCGCCAAGTGATCTTCATCCTATTTAAGTAGTAACCAGCTTTCTGATACATAGATTAAGGCAGTGATAACCATCAACCGAAGGGTGGGCCGGAGTCGGATGTTCTTAGTCCTGCACACTACGTCCCGATGCTCGTATACGCTCCCTGAGTCGCACGCTTTCCTCTGCTTAACGTTGGAGCTAGGTCGTTCATTTTGTTGAATTCACGACTTAGATGGAGGTATTTTGAGCAGTCGGAGATATTCCTTTCATTAAGGAGTGAATGAGGTATTTCAAACTTATCTGATATCCGTTGTAAGCGTAGTTCTCGTCAAATTTAGTCGGTGAACAATCTGCGCACAGGCGTTGTCGAAATCGGTCAACATTCGTTCCGCTTGGCTGATACTAGGTGTTATAAGGGCGATATCATCAGCGAAAATGATTCAATTGTCGACTGTTGATCTTCACTTCCAACTGTCCTATTCTAGTGATCGTATGACGTTTAGGAGTGTGGTAGTGAAAACTTTTGGCTATATTGTGTCGTCTTGTTAATCCCTCTTTTACGTCAATATTAGGTAGCATTGATGTAGAATGGTGATCTCATGGATGCGAACTTATCATGCAGCTAACAAAAAAAATTACGTATTTTGATTATTACTAGGAAGGTTCATAGGAAATCTCGATTATTAAAATAAGATATGCAGTGCAGGGTCATAAGTCGCCTGACGTGTTGTAGCGGTCGCTGGTTTAAGTGTGCTTCTCGCATCCATTAAGCACTGACCCTTTGAAGTTGGCGAAGTGATACCAGACATTGCCCAAGTAGGTAGAAGCATGTATACACTAAGTTGACTAAAAATTTGTGCGGTTTTTACCTTTTGATATGATTTTTGCAACGAAACCGTATGATTTTTGAATAAATAAATTGCCTATTTTCTCACAGACATTTTGGTGTGCAGCTTGCTTATATGTACTTTAGGGATGAGTTGTCTTACGAACAGGTTCTCTTGCTGCTCATGCGCAAATGGAGCTTAGTTGAAAATGCTAGTGAAACGGCACGCAAAATCAGTGGAGGTTGGTACGATGGCACGGTTGCATAAAGGACGACTAGGAAGTGGTTCTCTGAGTTCAAAACTGGAGAGAACAACTTGGTGAATCAGTCGCCCTCGGGCCATCCACAAAAAGCTCCATCAATCTTGCATGCCGCTTTACCAACATTATCTCCTACTCGCCATTCGTGCATGAGTAGCAGGCGAATTTGTTCCCACGAAAGCCCCCATCTTAGAGCAAGCTTAGACAAAATGTATACTAAAACGTTTACAAGAAAATGCGCAATTGAATGGCTTCAAAAAAAGTACTCCCACTAAGCCCTGAAGTGAATGATACTATTTTGGAAACATCCTTTCTTAAAATGTTGGGCTATATCGGCACACATTTTCCAGATAGGTTGACTGGCGTTTTGGAGATTTCTTCTCCTTCAGAGTTTAGGCAAACTATACCATATCTCATCTAGTTACTCAGATACTCTTCCGTTATCTGTAACCTATTTCAACCCTTCAGAAAAAGCTTTTTTTGCTGGATTTTAATTTTTGAGCAACCATTCGATTGCTTAAATT